AAAAAAAACAGGGGACTCTGTTTTTCCCCTGTTTTCCCCTGTTTTTTTTCGAGGTTTTTAGTAGCTTACTGCTTTCATTTCTTGATAAGTAGTGATTAGTCTATCTTCCCAAGACTCTAAGGAACTTAAGGCAAAGGACTCGATATTCGGGATCATGGCTTTGATGGAATCGGGCATGAAAGCGCGCGAGACGAGCTTTCTGAGCTTGGCGTGATAGTCTCCTTGGTGGAAAAATATGGCTTGTTTTCCGAGCATGCGCTCTTTGCTAGCCGGGAATGTGGGCTTGAAAAGATGGGCTTTCGAGACAAGGACCATCTTAGCGGCCTCTGGGCTCGATATCATCACGCACGGGCAGCCCAATATGTGGCTCTTGAATATGGCGCCGTACCTATCAACACAAAAAAGTTTCGACAAGTAACTTAGTGATTTTTTTTTTTTTTATATATATTTTTTTCATGAAAATTAAAGAAAAGAAAACACATACTTCTTGACTTTGGAAGCGAAGAAAGTGTTCGGGTTTTGGGAGTAGAGTTGGTACGTTTCGCCTATGTACGGCCAGCCCATAGTGCCCGGTGGCAAAGGCAGCTTGGACCGGCCGAGCCGTAGAAATTTGAGGATGATGAAAATGAAGGAGATTGTTAAGGATGCAAGAAGGAAACAAAGGGAGATGAAATCCATGTTTTGTGTGTGTGTGTTTTATGTTGTAATAAAAAAAAAAATGATCTTTTTTGGATGAGGAAATGAAAAGGGTCCTTTGTGGAGTGGTTTATATAGAGGCAAGAATCAAGATGTGAGGAGATGGGCCTTTATGTTACAGCTTGAAATCCACAAAGGAATCACTCTCCAGCTCAGAGAGAGAGAGAGAGAGAGATTGGGAGAGATGTGTGTGTATTATGAGGAGAGAGTAAGGGGACACGTGTCAGTGGATTTAGAGAGAGAGAGAGAGGAGAGAGGATGTGGGTTGACTAGGACTGGTCTAGTCTAGTTAAGGCAACATGGCTCAGTTTGAAAAGAGGTTCCAAGGAAACAACCTGACTGAAATAAAATAAGAATAATAATTAACAATAATAAATAATAAATAAGTGAACAAATGAATAAATAAAATGAAAAAAAAAAAAATAATAAAGTAATAAAAAAAAGTTGGAGAAAGGCAAACATGGTGTCTAAAGGGATGGATTTTGCCCTCCGTACGTACAATCACTTTTAAACTTTTTTTTTTTTTTTTTTTTTTTTTTTTATAGAGGAACCTTCCGGTTTTCGGATTCACAGGGGAACCGACTAATTCGGAATCGAGCCGGGTAGGACCACAAGGGCGGCAAAGCTCTCCCTCAAGAGTTTTAATACTGTTGCATTCTCAAGACTCAAACACGAGACTACTGGTTAAGCTGGAAGAGACCCAAGCCATCTCATCCAAGCGCTCTTGGGTAATCAATTTTAAACTTTAATTGATGATGGTGTTCATTTTATTTTTAGTTGGGGACATAATAATACATTGTGTATTTGTTCCAATATTGGAGAGACTTTGAGACTTATGTACAACTGTTAAAACGAATTAATTTGGGACGTTCGCGAATACTCTTCAGTTCTGTCGAGTTCGGTGTAGTTCGATTAATTACTTAAATGAGCCTGATTCGAACAACTACTTGACCTCATTTATTTAACGAGTCGAGTAGAGTCTGTTCGCGAATAGTTTATTTTTTATATGTTGAAAGAAACAGTCGAGTCAAACTTGATCGTGAGTAGACAGTTCATATTCGCGAATAGCTCATTTATGATTTTAGACTTATTAAATGAGTTGACGTGAGATTTCACGAATTTAAACGAGACGAGTTTATTGAGTCGAGTCTTTTGCTAGTTTGCTAAATGAATTAAGTTGAGCCGACTCATTTATTGAACAAGCCAAACTGAGGTTGTTCATAAATAACTTTTTTTTTTTAGTTTTAAATAAAATAGTCGAGCATAACTTGTTCGGTTCATGTGACTACTTTTATTTTTTAACCTTTGAGATATTTATACTATCAATAACGGATTATATTTTTTAAATAACGGATTAGTCGGCATAACTCCGGATATCGTGGCTGGCTACCAAAAAAAAAAAAAATTATGTAGTATACTTCTACATTTACATAGTATTTAAATACTAACCTAAATTATTATTGAACTTATAGTCAACTAGGGGGACTGTTTGTGAATGTAAATCCTACTACTATGAAGTTTCTTGGCTGAGGATATGTTGAACTTTGACTGGAGTAATTAAGTGTTCTTAAGCAAATCTGATTAATTCAAACTTGTATGGTTTGACACTTATTTAGATAATAATATGGTTCGACTTTTATTCAGATAATATAATATTGTTTTTTCTTCAAATACATTTAAGAAATTTTTTTATGTAGTTGACCTTGTCTTTATATTGTAAAATTGGATATCCAATTTTACTCGTGAATTTGAACTATTTCTAGTGATTTTTTTTAACGATATTTTGAAATAAAATTAAGAAAATTATAACACTTATTTATCAGCAAAATGTCAACTTTATTTTTTCTGCACTTTTGTATTTATTTTATATTAAATAAATTAAATGTAAGAATACATTTATTATTATTATTATTATTATTATTATTATTATTATTATTATTATTATTATTATTATTGTGATAAAAAATAATTTGTCACAACAGAAGCATAGTTTTTGATCCCGTTTGATACCCGGCCCCGGGCAAGTATCCGGGTCACTTGTTCCACTACAAGAAAACATTTAAATATCAACGAAAAATTCCAACGGCAAAAATTTCCGTTGGAAATTCCAATGAATATTCCAACAAACTTAATTTTATGTTGGAATAAGTGTTGGATGGTTGAGAAATTCCAACAGATTTTTCCGTTGGAATAGTTGTAGGAATTTATTTCTATTGGATTTTAGCTATTCCAACGACTGTTTTTCCCACGATTTTTTATATGTAGGAATATCCGTTGAAATAGCTATTCCAACGAAAAATATAAAGAGTTCTAACGGAAAATTTCTATTGGAATGTAAGAGTTTTTTTTGTAGTGTTGATTTGCCGGGTCACCGAGTCAATTGCTGATAATTAATTTTAAAAATTTTAAAATTATATATATAGTTTGTGACATAAATATACATAAAAATAACAAATATAAATATTGTGTATATAAATTTGTACATCAAAGTGTTAAATGAATTGTATCTCACAACAAATATTTACTATATCAATATATTACATAGTTTTATTTTTTTATATAAAAACTATTAAAAAAGATAAAAAAATATTAAAAAATATATAAGGACCTTGTCAACTAGGTTGACCTGGCCGAGTCAATGGGTCAAGACTGGGTTTGACCGGGTCCATTGTTGTTCAGTCCAAATAATCTATTCAGACCAATTCCAGCTCCGAATCTGTCGGATCTTGAGTCTCGACCATCGGACCGGTCCGTCGTTGAAAAACACTGAAAAGAAGTTAAAATGCAGAACCGAATCCCGCGTCACTTAGGAAATGCAATAAATGTAAAGTCTTGAAGGATATCGTTTGACGCCACTTTTGGCTTTAGACACTATTAATGTATTTGCAGCTAACTATAACAAATAAAATGAAATCCTAATCTTTTTAGCCGTATGCATACAAAATTGCAAAGCTTAGGCGACAAATAAAGGAAATTGGATATAGTCAGACCAGCTTAATTTGGTGGCTTTTCTTTTGATATATATGAAGTCATATATTGGTAAAATTTCAGTAATAATAATTATTAAGTGAGAGTGACCATTTTCTAGCCATAATCTGTTTTAATTGTAAAGCTAATTAGAGAGTTAATATAAAGTATAATTTGCAAATAATTCTATGATAATTAATTGATAACTCAAGTAATTTGCTATGCTATTATGTGTATTTTGCGATAGTAATAAGCAAAATTGCTATAACTTCCTGGTGAATAGAGTGAAACGAATCGAACTCGAGCTGATTGTGTATATATATATATGAGTTTGAGATTGAGCACTTACCGAACCGAGCTCATTAATTAGGAAAACGAGATGACAAACAAGCTCGAACTCAGCTCGTTAATCAATATTGATGAGTTGAACTCGAGTCTCAACGAGTCGAACTAAGCTGAAAGTTTAGAAAAGCACATAACATATTCTTGAGACTACCAAACCATAACAAGCCGAACTCGACTCGTTAACTAAATGCTTATACAAAATCTAAACAAGCTAGAAAAAAAAAAAAAAGTTTGAACTGTACTTGAACTTAACGAGTTGAGCCGAGCTGATTCATCAAATTCAAAATAATTTTTTTATTTTTTCGTACGTTCTCCCATGCTGTATTTCACGAGTACAAATTGCCCATCAATTTCTTGTTAGCCAAAAAGGTAAGGAATGGCATATTACGTACATGATCGTGACATATTTACACTTTTCAATAACCTAATATAAAATATTATTAGCATATCTACCTTCATAACTAATAGTCTAAAAATACAGGGAGGTGATGAAATTTGAGTTTAGGAGGGCCTCATATTAATAAGGTTTATCCTCCAACGAGTCGGCATGATAAACGAGTCGAGTTCGAATCTGTATACAGTTCGTTTAATTAACCAAAAGAGTTAAAGACTTGAGAATAGGGGCTTCACATAACTGTTTGAACTTCTAACTTAGATCAATTCGTTAAGATTCGATTTTAACTCGTTAAAATTTGATATATAAACGAGATGCAACTTCTACAATTTGGCTTGATATGCTTGAATTTGATATTTTTTATTCAAGAAAATATATTGTCAACTCGTTTGCCATCCTTTAGGCATTAGATTAGATTTTAAATTACAATACAAATTAATTACTACATTATATGTATAATTGAATGTAATATTTTATTGAAGAAAAATATATTGTCAACCCCTTGGCCATCATTCTATAGGCATAATTAGATTAGATTTTTAATTATGTATAATAATATTATTTTGGTATAGAAGTAAACGAAAGCTACCCATATATATATTTTGTATGTAAATCAATTTTGGCGGCTCATGATATTGTATTAAGGTTTATTTATTAAGTTGAGTAAAATCATATTCTATTCTTTAATTTATTATTATTATTTTCTACACATTTAAATAAAAATATATTAAAGACAAGTCTGTGTGCCACATAAAACCACTCTGCTCCTGCAGTTTGAGAAAACCAGGCACTCAGGTTGCATTTATATAAGATTTTTTTGTCTTCAATTATTTAATTAATGAATGATAAACAATGCCATTAAAATAATAGAGGGCTGTTCATATATTGAATTTATATATTTAAACACATAAACATTACATAATTCCAAATTGCACTTCTTTATTTCTAATTATTATATTTATATTTGAGCTCCTCAGTTAATTATTATTATTTTTTGTTGCAACTTGTTTGACAATGGACAAGAAAAAATAAAATTGATCTCCTTATATAAGGTTAGTCATTTAATTAATATATAATTATGTATAGAAGTAGTGAAGTACTAGCATCTCCAACAACGGCATGTCAATTGTAGGATTGTAGAAGCGATACGATAAAAAACTTCTCGAGCGGTATTTTTTCTACTTCTATTTATGCTGATGTAGAGAGAAGCCATCTATTATAGACAACATTTTACGTTAGAGATGCTCTACTATTGCAAGACATTTTATTAAGGAGAATCATTTGAATAACCAGGGCCATTGTCCCTATTTAATTTTTTTTTTTCTTAAAAAAAGTAATTATATTTTCTCTCAAATATATTTAATTTAAACCTAATTAAAACTTTCTAAATTCTTTATTTTCTCTCAAAACTTTACTCCAAACACCTTTTCAAAAAACAAAACAAACAGTATGGCTAATTGCACTCATATTAATTTCTAGGAAAAAAAATGATTTGTACTAATCAAAATAAATTTCACAATTATCATTTAATTAAGACCTTTTTTTTCCTTAAAAAAAATGATTAAAATTTAAAAAAAAAAATCCACATGGCTAGCTAGTGAGCTGCGGTCAGCTTCCACCAATGAATTAAATTAACCTTAATTTATTTAATTATAATTTTACTTATTAGCGTGCACTGGATTTGCTAACGTCAAAAAAAAAAAAAATGTGGTTTTGGACTGGAGTCCACTTCCCAAGTTGCAATATTAATTAATTAATTAATTAATTAGATCAAATGAAGAATAATTAAACAAAAAATATTATGTGATTTGTGGGGTAATTAATGGGGCCTAGAGGAGTTTAATTTGAGGTGTGTAATTGCTTGTCCTTTTTTTGCAATTTTATTTCTTATTCTTTTAAAATGCAATGGCTATAAATTAAATTTATACATTCATTTATACTGAACTTTATTTCAATATTTTTGTTACTAAAATACTACCTCCTATTCTTTTTAAATGTCATTTTGGCATTATCAACTATTAACAAAATAAAATCGTTTTGGATATTTTGTACATATTTTTCCATTATTACCCTCATTTAGTTAATAAATACAATACGTATTTTTATATTCACTCTTCATCTTTTTTCAAAACATTTATCTCTATCCTCATTAATGAGGGTTATTATTGGCAAAAAAAAAATATTATTAACAATTGTGCAATTTCTCAAAATGACACTTATTTTGAATAGGAGGGAGTAGCATTTATATATGGGGAGATTCTACGATCCTGTTACGGAATTATTCCGTCGAAGTTTGTAACCGTTAGATCAACTATTCACGACGGTTACATGATGATCTCACAGTTACAAATCCCGACGAAATAGTTCCGTAATCGAATTGTAACATTTCCCTTATGTAGGATTGTATATGATCATTCACTCAAATAAAATATCTAACCCATTTTGGAAATTTAATTTATTTATTATTGATTTACATTTTTCCTCACAAATGGCAAATCGCTTTCACTCCACTTCATTCCTCAGCTTTACAGATAAGGCGTGTCTGTTATATTGCCCAAAAAAAAAAATGTGTCTCATATTGCTCTCAGTAGTCTCAATAACCCCACTTATTTCGTCTCTTATAATTGTATATATATAACGACTTATATATTCCACATAATTTCTTCCTTTATCAATCAAATGTTTCATTTTAATTGATGATTAATTACTACTACTGTAAACGAGCAGAGCTCGAGTTTATAACACTCCAATTTGAGTTCGAGCATTTATCGAGTCAAATTTATGTTAATAACCGAGCTGCTAATTAATCAACAAGCTCAAGCTCCGGCTAAGGCTAAAGGTTTCATTGAGCCGAGCAAAGCTTTACGAGCCGATAAACGAGTTCAGCTTACTTAATGAACTGACCTATAGAAAATTAATGACATAAATGTTCATATTTTCGAACATTAACTAATTAATCTCTCGGTTCATTAATTAGACGAATCCATGAGCGTCTCGTTTAGTTTGCCAGTTAATCTAGTTACTACAAACTAATTATCAACACACCTTATTCAATTTTTCTCTCACATCACGTGATTCTTTTCCTTAATGATTTTCAAGTATTGAGAAATGCTAAGTCCCGTCACGGAATCATTCCATCAGATTTTGCAATAGTTAGATCATCATATAACCGTCAGGGATAATTGATTCAACGGTTACAAATCCGACGGAATGATTCTGTAACAGAACCGTAGCATTTCCTTTAAATATAGTTAATTAATATTTGAACGAAAATATAAAACTGAAACATTTATTTTATACACGTATCGAGAGAATAATAAATGACAGTTGTAATTAAGAAGTACTAAATCGGGTTGGCAAATTATAATGCATGCAAATGATAACACGTGCATTTGCATCCTCTGATTTAGAGAAGTACATGATGTGTGTACGGTAACACGTCCTGCTCAAAATTGGTTGCAAATAACTAAATAGGGTTTTACTTATTAACGATAAACGATGATGGTAAAAACGTATATTTTTTTTTTTTTTGGTGCAAAGAAGGAGGCTACACGCCTAAGTAAAAACGTAGATTTGATGGATCGATCTGTTATTTTTTTTCCAACAAAAAAAAAATAAAAATGATATTTATATTGACATGTAACCAATTCCTATCTTAACTTCTTGATCCGACTTGTATCACAATTCTAGCCCGTTTTATCCTATCTCAGCATGACGACCTATATATTCATAATGTCATATTAGACATGACCAAATTTCTGGCCGGGCCAGGCTGGTCGCCGGGTTTATAATCACCGACCCTAAACTGCCAAGTGCCAGGTACATTACTCGGTGGTCCAGGCCAGACCCGCCCCGAGACCCGTCAAAAAGAAAAATAATAAAAACAAGCTATTATTGATTTTCTGGCGCGTCCCGCATGGTCATATGTTGCATACATATGATCCTAAACCGGCCCGGTTTGGATCCGAGCACAAGCCCATACTCGTGGTCAACGGGTCTGACTTAGTCGGGTTCGTGCCGGTTCTAGGCGGGGTCCAAGCCGGATGGCCCGTGGCCGTGTCTATATCATATATGATATTTGTGAAGCTTCACAATTTTTTATGTTATCTGTAAATTATGATCTATCAATATGAAAGCATATGTATGACAATGCCAGTTTAATGACTTCATGAGGATTGGGACTAAAAATAATGAAGTCAACAGCAATTTATGTTATTAAAAATAATGAAGTCTTATATTTCGGTTAAATTAGTATTTGACTTCCATCTTCCAAATCTAATACGCAACATCCCATTTAACATTTTTTGTTACTTAAAATAATTAGCATTTTTTTTTTTAAATATTTTCCCTTAAAGACTTTTAAAAAATAATACCTATATTGATCATACTTATTAAAAGAGCAAGGCATGGTGGATTATTCAAATAATCGTGATTAATGACTTAGGCACTAATATGGCTGCTAAAGGAATATTATTAAGGCTCTGAAAATAAAGATTTAATTTTCTATTGTTCAGCTTGTTAAAACTCGAACTCGACTCGTTAATATCAACAAAGCCGAGCTCAAGCTCTTTTGTTGGTTTGGTATTAACAAGCCAAGCTCGACTCAATAAAAAAAAAACTCGAGTTTATCTCATTTACACATTCTTTAAAGTTGTCATTTATTGACTAGAAATTATTGGGATTTCGGACCAAAAATCAGATTTTATTTTACAAAAATTATAAACACCCCAGGAAATTCATTTCAACCATACGAATAATAATAATAATAATCCACATAAATATAAATAATTTGCCTTTCATTCTTGTTCCTGTAAAATATTGTTGGCAATCGGGAAGTCGGGCAATATATCCACCGGAACCTGGAATGATGATCAATATTCGATATTATAAGAAAATGAATTTCAAAAATAATAATGTCGATGATAATTAGAATGAGTTGGTTCGATTTTTCCCAGAAATGCATTGTACTGTCTGAAGAAAAAGATAAAAAGTAAATTAAAAAAATTGATATGGTATACCTCAATATCTTGCAATTTATCGAGCGCGGATTTTAGCGGCTGTGAAAGCACACCGTGCTTTGAAAGGAGAGATTTTGCAGCGTTTTTATCGCCTTTTCGTTGTATAGTTAGAATCTTCCGACTCAAGCTTTCGACTGCATCCTCAACCTTTCATGATCATAAATAATTTACGAAAATATACTATTAGGAATTTATTATTATTGGTTGTTCGATAATATATGTTTGAAATAATTTGAAATTATAGAACAAAATGCTTTGAAAAAAATGGCGGGTACCTTCTCAAAGTCGACAGAAAATGTTCCGTCAGGATGCATAAGAAGCGCGCCCTGTTCGAAAAAATAATTGAATTGTAAAAGCTTTCCCTTTCCTGGACATATATTTCACAAAGTAAAAAACATAAAAACAGACCCAAATTTGGTTAAATAAACCCACTGCTTTTTCGATTTTTGTGGATTATTGCAAATATTACCCTTAAGCTCAAGTATAACTGCAGTAAAATCTGATAAATAAGCAAATAGAAAAAAAAAAAAAAAAAAAAAAACACAAAAAAAACACAAAAAGGCTTACCCGTGAACTTCCTCCAAGCCAAAATGTACAGAGCGGAAGCAACCGGCAAGGGACGAGACTACATGGATTTGATCCCAAGATATCAATCCGCCTTTAAAAGGTCTCAGAAATAATCCGAATGGCTGAATTGCAGTTTTAGACCTGGTGGTTTAACGTCATAGCAATTTTAATTTCAAGATTCTAGCATTTCGCCTTTTTAATCCTGTGATTTAGTATTTTGCGGCAATTTCAGTCCTGAAAGGACTGAATCACAACAAATTGTCGAATTTAAAATTGAGGGAAAGCATTGTATTCTTTCGAGTAAGGGACAATATACAAATCGTGAGCACCATTAGTGCTATTAGTAGAGGTGGTGTTTGACAAAAATGACTTATCCAATATTCTCTCGCTTTCCCTTTTGATAACACTGAAAAAGCCTGTAGCTTCTTTTTGTTTTTCTTCGGGGAGACTATTTTTCCACAGTTCGAATTCCTATATAAGAAGAAAACCATAAATATGCTATACACTGAAAAGATCTGAAAGATGAAATCATTTTTTACTTTAAATTCATTTAGCATAAATGTAACAGTCACATATTTTAGTTACCGTTTTATCCATATCCGGTGGGATAGAACAGATGGAATTGTAACAGGACATGCCGTTCTATACTCAACTCCCTTCCATCTACTCACTGGCTTAGTAGCTTCCGGAAGAAGCTTCACAGCCGAGTCTGCAGTTGACAAAAATGCCTCGCTTTCATCCAAGATATAGCGTAACAATATATGCACATAGAAAAAATTGAAATGGTACAGAAGATATTCGCTCGGGACGTCTAGAATTTTTTTACTAACACAATTGGTTATCTGAATAAACGAAAGTTGGATGAGGAGTATATTTTGATTTATTTATTTTTTTCCCAATGCTTGTAACCAAAATGATGAATGGATATCTTATAATTTTTATTATTTTGTACCGAAAGGGGGGAGAAAAAAACTTACTTTGTAGCTTTAGGATTATACTAAGGGAGTATTAACTACCAATTATTACACTAAGCAAATACTAATTACCATGGTCTTTTGTTGACAAGATAATACACCCATTTTAATTTGTTGAGGATAGACTCATCTGCATGGAGCTTTAGCCAATCTCTTAACGATGGATTGCTGTACCAAACCTGATTTTGTGCAAACAAGAAAAACAAAGAGAACAAATATTAACCTCCAAATATAACTGACAAAATCCGGGGGACTATATTTTGAACAAAGTAGCATAGATTAAGTTATTACTTAAGATGAACGAACAAGCTTTTGTTGGACATTGTGGATAAACATGGCTAGAAATCGAAAACCTGAAGGAGGAAAATTTCATCAATTATTTTTGCAGCTTTAATGAGCGAAGTCAGAGCTTCCTTGTCGCCATCACTGAGCCCCACCAACTGTTAGGCCAAAGAGAAAAATTGTTAGAAAAAAAAAAGAGCATTGAGTGCCACAAGTGATGTTACATTGAACAAAAAAAAAAAAA